CCAAGTCCGAAACTTACGAGTTTCTTTATTTACAATTTTGTGACAAAATAGTGATGATAATTGCATTAATTTGTTTCTAAATATTAACAGCGTCATGGATGGTTGGGTTGTGAATAAATTAATTGAGTGGAATCTTGAGAAACTTGTGTCAGTTTTTGAAGGTGAGTAAAAAAATAAATCTTCCTATGTTAACTGTGTTAATGCTGTGTCCGTGGTTATTGTATATAACCTACTCTTCTGTGCAATTTTGTATAGTTGTGTTCTTTTAATATTTTTTATTTGTTAGTGAGTGCAATATTTATGTTGTATGGTACTTGTTTTTATATTTATTATTTGTATGTTATTTTGATTTATATAGAGTAAGAAATAGATGAAAATGCATTTGCATGCTTGGATAAAGAAACTATTCAGCTGATAATTCCTAAAGCTGGTCCAAGGGCATTATTTTTAAAAAAGTGGGAAAATGAATTTAAGATAAATGACGAAAATTCCTGAGTATGGAAATATTCGGTTTAATGAATGAATTTTTATTTATTATTAGTTAATTTATTTGTTTTTCTTTTAATATTCCCAGAACCTTACTAATTTTCCTGCTTCTACGTCTAATTTAAACGGATCAGAAAGCATCGATGGTAATATATTAGATATTACAGGTAAAATTTAAATTTTCTATAAGTTTGCTACTATTATAAATTTTTAATTCATATCAAAGGTTAAGATTATGAATAGTAGCATGATTTGTTTTTTATCTAATCAACTATTTCTATTCTTCTATTGTCATTAGAAGACGGTAATAATTGGACCGATGTCTCTAGTCTGATTCAAATTGTTCAAGAAGAAAGAAGTTTACCACTTAATCCAAGTGATTTTTTCCCCGATGATATTGACCTCACTACTGAACTTTGTGATCCTATCACAAATTTAATGACCCGTTTGAAAAATTCAATTAAAGGAATCGCTGTTTTAAATTATTTCAAAATTTAGAGATGTCTCACTGAGACATATCGGGTATTATTAGCTGATTGTATTGTCACAAGAGAAATGCAAACAAATTATGATCATGTGTAAGAAATAGTGGTGATGCTATTTAACTAAATACTATAGTGGTGATGCTATTTAACTAAATATTCCTAATTCTGAAAACCATATTTTTTCACTCAATGTAGTAAAAGACAATTTTTAAGGCGCCATGTAAACCAAATTTTGAAATGACCTTGGAAAAACGAGCATAAATAGTTTGTGGATCCCCAACAATTTCTGATCAGTGGTGTTAACGACTCAATGTCCGAAATGACTTTGTAAAATTTTTTTTTTCGTGTTTACATCAACTTATAAATGAGATAGACCGTTATTCGGGCGACATTCCGTCTTTTTGCTTTATAGAAAACAGTTTATAGTTCTACTATGAACCTGACCCACTATAAACACATGCCAAATATTGTACTCAGATTTCTGCAATGGACTTTGGAGCTTCAGAAAGAATGCGACTCGCAGATCTTATCCTGCGCAATGAAGAGAAAATCCACTCTTTAAATTCAGGAAACGAATAAAAATAGTTTGAGCAACTAATAGAGTTCAATATAGTAAATAATTTTGGATATAAGTATTTCAATTCGATAGTGGTGATGCTATTTAAATAGATTTTCTGAGTTCAGAGAACCGTATTTTCGTTTCAGTGTACAATATCTTCCAATTGATTGATTTTCAAGTACAAAAATCATTTATAACTTCTTGAGTTGTGATAAGACTTAAAAACAAAAACGTAATGTTTTTTGGACTACCCTAATTTATAACAAGTTATAAGAGCTTGAAAAAATAAAAACTGTTGATATTGAAAAGTAATAGGGGTAGTGTACATGGCAGATAACTCATTTAATTACTAATTCTATTAAAATGAATGCCAGTTATGAAACAAAGTCTACATATCTGTATTAAGCTAGCGGGTAACATCTCGTAATCAGGTTAATATAAATATGAAATATGCAGTAAGCGAAGTTGCCCTTTTTACCTCTGGGTCGCGGGTAAGTGGGTAGACGGGCAAGCGGTTGGTTGAAGAGGTTAGAGGAGCACAAGAGCGAAAAGGGTGTGGACGTACGTAGTAGAATGAACGTCAGAGGAGAAGCATACGTGAGTCACCACCTTACGACTCCTCCGGGGAGGACCTCATATTAACCCTTGCATATTAAGCGCGTGATAACTGGATTTTCAAATATTAATGTTAGTGCCGCTGCTAGATTGCTTAAGTATGTGGCGTACATACCGTCTAGTGCCAATCTTTATACATTATGTACACGAACCAGTCGTTACATTTTCCTTAAAAGTCTCCATTCTATAAATCTGACTTTGCTACTCGATAAATCACTTTATGGTCAATCTAATTTCATGAATTTATCTTTTATGGAATCTTTGCAATCGTTAAAGGGAGGTTTACAATCTTGTTGATTTTTGTATGTTTTACAAAATCTAATGAGCTTCTATATACATGCATCTCTATACATTATATGGGTGATTCTCTGTAAGGACGTCTTAAATCTGTACAAAATTGTCCGACCAAATTATTTTTGATTTTATTAGAAAAAAAATTAACAAGGGCTACAAAATTATCAGCTTAATGATAATTAATAAACAGCCAATTTAATTTTTGTTTTTTCAATATTTGTGTGTCTTTTGCTATATAACATGACAGGGGACTGTTTTTTTTATCAAATTGAGAAAAATCAAACAAACTATTTCAATAAATTCAACTTTTTAAGTTCTCGATGAATATTTACATTAATTAGAATAATATTTTCAGTACAATCAGCGTTTTTCACACTAAATAAAATGGCGTTAAAGTGCTAATAGCCCTATGGTTATTAACTTAAGGCTACACTGAAAAAAAAATTTTTTCCGCTTAGAATACTAAATTTTTTACTCGAGTTTTCTTGATTTAAAAAAACTGGTATCATTAACCTTAAAATACCACGTTTTATTATAAGGCTAGTTTTTTGACAGTGAGAAAACTGTATTCTTATTAACTTTCGTATTTTAATTATAAGAATACCAATTTTTTATTCATAAGGAAACATTTCCTTGGTAGAAAAAAACTTTTTTGATATACTCGCTCGAGAAGTTCAACTTCTGAGCGCTGGGTGGTGTCCGTAAAGGGGCTCTTTTCTAGAGACTCTACCATACCGTCTTTTTTTCACGGCCTAGGCCGAGAAGTTTTACCCCCTCCTTTTTTTTACGAACTTTTCATGTACACCCAGACGAAATTGAGAGAGATTGTAAAGAAAAAAGTCACATTCTAGCGTACCGACCGATAATTTTTAGTCTTAGTTACTATTAAGTGGCGCTTATTATTTGTCTGCTGGCAGTTTATTACGAAGCGGACCTAATGTTAATAAAATAACAACAACGCCATAAATAAATACTAATAAAACATTATTTACATTTTCTGGACGTAAGCAAGATTTTAAGATTAATAAAAAGATAATTAATATAAAATTAATTTTTTTTGGCCTTGTGAAACTTCCTAAAATTTAAATATGTCATTATTTGCCTCCTATCCCTCAAAAGTTAAACTTATGGAGCGATAATAACAAAAAATATTGTATGTCATTCGGCCGTTTAGTGGCGATTTTAACAACGACTTTTTTTCGATATTCGCTTTAATGTTTGTCACGCGAATGTTCGAAAACAAGCGTAAATTTCCGTCCTCGGCTACGCCTCGGACGTTAAAATTGCGCCCGTTTCGAACCTTTCCGCCACAAACCTTAAGCTCATATCGAAATATCGTCGCTGTCAGAAAACCGCCACTTCACGGCCTTATGACATAAATATTTATTTTTTCAGTGTAGTTAGATACTTATAAACCTTACAAAAGGTAAAATAACACGTTGGATTTTTTTTTTGGCTTTGAACTTCTAGCAGGGGACTGTTCTTAAAATGCCTGGGACAAACTTTGGTTTAATGAATTTAATGAAACAAATTAACTTTTGGTACTTTTTATTGATGAAGATTGTTAGTTAACTAGTTACTAAACATTGTTAAGTTTATAAACATTATGGGCCAAATTATATATTATAGACGAATAACTTAAAATTGAATCTTAAAGTTTTAATTTCGGGAATGGAACAGCCCAGGAGACTGTTATTTCGGTGGTTTACGAATTTATATAAAAAAAACCAAAATTTATTTCATTTTAGTTTTCAATGCTCAAAATAGAAATGTTTTTTTACTTTCGTAATAAATTTTTTTTAGTAACAAAATAACAATTTTTCTAATAAAAAAATGCCTGGGACAGCTAAAAACATCCTTACAGAGAATCACCCATATGCATGCATCTATACACTATATACACTGCATTTTTAAATATTTGTCGTTCTGCCTGACTAGTTCTTGCTCCATTAAATCTCCGTATTAATTATCCGTAATCGAGTAGATCGTTCGACAGACATATTTTGCAAACAAATGTAAGGCCAACTGGTTCACCGCAAGACAAAGTGTTCATTGAGCATGATTTTTTGCCAGGTGCCCATACGCTCTGTAAGGGATATGGAGCATTGAAACTATACATATGGATTAGTGACATCGTTGCGTTATTGTTGACAATATCCCTCATGTATGCATTTACAATTTCGTACCCTAGTCAGTAGTAGGGGTGGGAGTCACTAGTATTTCCGTATACAATAGACTGTGATCAATGGTTTTGAACAATGGTACTTGTTATGAAGGCAACGAAATGTCACCGAGCTTGAATTAGCACGACATGCCTGAGTGGAGACAGTAAAAAATTTTGTGTTTTCAACCATTACGTAATAAAAATTATTGTTATTATTATGATCATTTTACTTCTGAAAGGTGAATGAAAGAAAAATTATTGAGCATTAAAAAATACAAATTTTCTGCAATATAATTCAAATATTACATATTTATAAAAAGTATACTCGATAGTTAGTGGATAGAGAATTTTAAGCCTGAAAACTTTTCAAATAAAGAGTCAAACTCGAGCGATTTCTATGTTAAAAAATAAAAATGTTCATTTTGAAAAAAATTTATCACCTATCAGACGGGTTGATAAATTACAAAAGAACTGGTTACAAGTAAAAAATGGAGAAATTACAGTTCCTACATTTGTCGAAAATGTTGGCCAGCTTATTGGACAGGATACAACTGTTGAAGGTATTAAACATTAATCCCACATTTTTATCTAACAAACATAAATCTGATCCTGAAACTTAAATTTTTCTTTAAGTAAAAATGTAAATCGCGCGAAAGTCTCTGTCTTTTTACAAATAAATAATCAGGAATTATATTTTTTCAACAAATTCTATACAAAACTAATTTCAATTCTATAAGCTAAAAATTCATATTGGAGCATTTTCAAGTTGATATAGTACAAAAATTTTGTGAACATGGTCTCTAATTATACTCATGATATAAAAATACGATTTAAATATCTGTTTTGTTATTAAATTATATTTTCTACGCTGAAACTTTGATTTTATTATTACAGATCCGAAAAAGTTGGTTGTCTTAGAAAAAGAAAGAGATGTGGTTTGGGGTATTTTCAATGGAACTACCAATCACACCAACAACTACGGATACATGCTGTGTCTCAAGTTGATGCAGACAAGCTATTAAAAATTTCTGACAATAATTTTGCTAGTGTTGAACAGCCAATTTACGACTACCCTGTTCAATTCGCTGTGCCTTACTTTCTAATTTAGAAATCTGTATAATTTGTAAATGAATAGTTCAGTTTATCATTATATAAAAACTTATTTGTTAACAATAAAAATTTGAAATCTTATTATTTTCTTAAATAATAGTTGGTCATTTTCAATGACCAACTCGCTACGCTCGTCCGGATAAATAACTCGGTCTTGATAAGAATGCGCCATAGCCTCAAACTCGTGACGTCACTTCAAGCCGTCAAAATCCCTGCCTTTGCGCATATGTATCGAAAATAACTATTTTTTTTCAAGAAGAAAGTTAATGTAAAAAAATTTAAATTTTTCAGCTAAAAAATAAAATTCTTATGAAATTAAAAGTTTTATTATAAGATCGTTTATTTTTTTCAAAAGAAATTTTTTTTTCAGTGTTGTCCAAGATTTTTGATAATTGATAGATGTTCAAAAAATTTTTGCATACCTACAAGTTTAGATTGAAAACTTTATTTTTTCATTTTAAATCTCGATGGACATTTTTTATTTATAAAAATCTACATAATCCTAACTTATATTTTGATAAATCCACGGTAAGTAATTAACGACATTAACATAAACTCCTGGAATATTTTGCGCACATCCAATACCCCAACTAACCAAGCCAATTACACTCCATTGTTGCGTGCTGGATAAACATACCAATGGTGCACCACCATCCCCCTAAAAATAAATAACAGCATTAATAGTAAATCTTCTCAAAATATACACTGTTAAAAATTTTTGTAAAATTACAATCATATTACAAAACAAATGATATGTAAAATTACAAATCAGTGTATAGCAATGCGAAATAAAATACAGTTCATGTAATTTTCCAACACCTGTTAGGAAATCTACTAAGATGTATTGTAATTTTACAATCTTCTTGTATAAACCTAATACGCATTGTAATATTACAGAACTGTTGGTCAATTTTCAAGAAAAAGCTTTTTAATTTTGCAAACATTATTTTTAATTTGATTCGGCATAATTGTATGTAAAATCATTAAAAAATATTGTAATTTATATTACAATAATCTCATAAAAAATTTAAAAAGCTTTTTTTTATTTTTAAAATTTTCATTTTAAAATTACACAGTGCAATGTAATGTTACCAGAAAATTTTATTTATATTACACGAATTGTAATTCTACTTCACTGTTTTCTAATTTTAAAAATAATACTTTTCAATTTTACAAATATGAGACTGATGTATAAAAAAACAACAATGTCCTTCATATATTTTTTTACTAATTTTTAGTCTATGGTTGTTTATTAGTAATAATAAATTCGAAGCATCATTTATCTTTTATAAATTTTAATATTATGTTCAAACGATCATTTCGAAATCAATATATTTTAATGAGTATATGTTAGACTTTAATTTTTATAATATTCAATGAATTATAAATAATGTAAAAGTTAGTTATTTTTCATCAATAAACAGCATCAAATAACACAAATAATGTAAATAATAAATAATAAGCCGTAATGCTTTATCACCACATAGGATTAGCTTATAAGAATACTAAGATGTTGAATAACCTTTGGGTCGTACGGCGTTGGGCGTTAGGTATCGGTCTGGCAAGCGCGCGGCTTGCGTTCGATTCTTAGTTAGGTTAAATATTATTTTCACTTTATATCATCTGAGTTGAACAAATTAGGTCTACGTGAGATACCAAATCTAGTCAGCGCTTCATAACAATAAAATGACAACAGATATTAAATCAAATCTTTCTTTTTTATTATTTCAATTCAAGTAAAATTCAAGGAAAGTATTGTAATTTTACAAACTTAGCTAATCTAAAAATATTTGTAAAATTACAAAACCGTTTTGTAAAATTAGTAACCTCACTGAGCTATATATGTTTTGTAATTTTACTATACCCGATTGTAATTTTAAATAAATGTTTTGCCTATTAGCTTCCAATACATTTCTTGTAAAATTACAATAGAAATTTTTAACAGTGTATATATAATTATAATTTGATGCTAAGAATACTTACCGTACAAGCGTCTTTTCCAGGTTCTCCACCGGCACACATAAAACTCATTCTATCCAAATAAAATAATCCACCTAGCCTCGTGTTACGAAGCTGATTTTCGCAAACCGATTGATCAATAATCGGGACTTGAACTTCTCTCAAAATACTTTGATAACTTCCAGTGGGTCCAAAAGCATTTTTTCCCCATCCAGTAACCCAACACTGTGTCCCAACAGGTGGGAGTGCCGTTGGTAAACATGCTGTGTTGATGTGTGGACTTGATGCTAGTGGCACATCTCCATTAATTTTAATCACAGCGATGTCATTGTAAAGAGTGCTTGGATTGAAATTTTCATGAATTTTTACAGTAAGAGGGTAATACTCTTGATATGGATAAGGCTCGCTGTCTACTATACCATTCCAATCTCCAAGTCGAACTTTGAATTGCAGATTACTGTCAACAGTACATTTATTAAATTAGTTTGCTGATAATTTAATGTAAAGTTATAAAATAAAATATAAAAAAAATTATTTAACTTACGAATATGATGAAACTTTGTGAGCTGCTGTCAAAATATGTGTAGATGTAATGAGAACTCCAGAACCAATGTACTCATTGTTTGGTTTTAAAATAGCAACTTGCCAAGGATATTCTCCATATTTGGCTATTCCTTGACCTTGAGCTGGGGAATTTGTGATTTTTCGGGTGCCACATGAACTTGTGAAACTTCCTGATGCACCGCAGCACAATACTTGACCTGAAGGACACGATTGTTGACCCTGTACGTAATTTATGAACAGAAAAATCCAATGATTTTATTTGTCTTTTAGAATTATATATTTGGGATTCAAGAGCAAGTTTTATTATTTTAAATGGTCAAATTTTTTTCTTAAGTGAATAAGATAAAGGCTCCAAATATTGACGTTTTAATAAAATTAACATTAATATATTATTTCTAAATTTATTGAAAGAGTTTATAAGTTTAAACGACTGTTATGCTTTTTTTATAGTTTTACCAAACAAACTGGTAACATACCATCCGCAACATTAAATCATCGGTGTGTCATCCATGACGTTACATCCGAATGACAGTATATCCGCATATAATTAAATCCGGGACATTATATCTGTGTCACAATGACGATGTGATGAAGATGTTGATGATGATGATGATGATGGTGATTGTAATGACGTTGATGATGGTGATGACGTTAGTGATGGTGATGGTGATGATGATGTGATGATGATGGTGATGACATTAGTGATGGTGATGGTGATAATAATGATGATGATGATGATGATGATGATGATGATGATGATGATGATGACGTTAGTGATGGTGATGGTGATAATGAGGATGAGATGGTGATGATGATGGCAATGACGTTGATGATGGTGATGGTAATGACGTTGATGATGGTGATAACGTTAGTGATGGTGATGGGATGATGATGGCAATGACGTTGATGATGGTGATGGTAATGACGTTGATGATGGTGATGGTGATGATAATGATGATGATGATGATGATGATGATGATGATGATGATGATGATGGCGTTAGTGATGGTGATGGTGATAATGATGTGATGATGGTGATGACGTTAGTGATGGTGATGGTGATAATAATGATGGTGATGGTGATGATGATGGTGATGGTAACGATGATGGTGATGGTGATGGTGATGACGTTGATGATGGGGATGATGTTGATGATGGTGATGATGATAATGTTGATGAGTAATGGAAAAAAGTTTGATCTAGTAAAATGTTCATAAATCATCGATGACGTGTTAATGACAGCTAATGTTATAGCATGAGTCATAACGTTAATCACGATAGTTAATTTATATTAGTATCCTAACAATTAATAATTTTTTATAATTAATAATTAATTATATAATAATTAATAATTGATTAAAATTTGAACCCTAGTTAAATTATTAATAATGGATATTATATATTGATGCGGATATAGTGGTCTAAGGATTTAATGGCGCTGATATAGTCGCACGAGGATATAATGGCACAATTATAATGTCGCGAATTTAATTGTTTGCGGATAGAATTTCGTGGATATCATGACTTCGGATATAGTGACACAGAACCTACTTTTTACAACTTTCTGACATTGGTGCACAAACTTTTTTTTTTTGCAACAATTGTATATCGATACTGCCATTCTAATACGCCGTATCCCACAAAATTTGACATATTGACTTTTTTTGAAAAATAGAATCATAACAATATTATGCAAGTCACAATAAAAATGTATTTTCATCTGTTGAATTCCATTTAATCAATGTTAAAAATGAACTGTTTTTACCGTCTGCTGTAAAATTTTCTAAATGTGGGATACGACGTATTAGAATGGCAGTATCGATATATGTATGTATGGGCACAAATTTTTATTGAATATATATTTAGAAATTCATAATTACCTACTAAATATAAAATTAAATTGTTAGATTTTACCCGACTTCAATCTATTTTGAAAAATACTTGAAGAAAAATATTTGCTTTGGAAGCTATTGAATGAAAAGTTTTTTTCTTCGAGTAAATGTTTTCTAGATTCGTAAGTATCTTTATTTTTGTCAGTATAAATACCTGATTGACAATCCGTATATCTATTGAAGGAACTGCAGTAGTGGCTGATGGTGACAAACACGTACCTTGGGAGACACAAATACAATTTGAATTAGGTCGTGCGGTATTAGTAGTAGTAGTAGTAGTCGTCGTCACTCTTGCTAAAAAATATATAATATTTGTTATCTTACATTTTATAATATTTTCAATGATAAAAATTTGATGAAGCAGCGTAGAAAAATGAAACAAAAAATAATTATAACATTCTATAATGATAGGATTATATTATATCGTTTATTTTAATATAATATTTCTCACTTGTTCCACTAAAAACAATTCCATCATTAATGGATGGAGTTTGAGCAAATGAACAAACCACTGCGGTTAACAATGCCAATTTACCAGAGCAAATTCTACTTAGTTTAATCATTTTTCATAATAAGCAAAAATTATAGTGATGCTTATTTTCATTTATAAAATATATGATAGTTTTAATAACAGAACTAGTATCAATGATGTCACAACACTAAATAAAATTTAAATGAGAGAACTCGGAGTTTTATACATCCTCAAGCGGTCATTCATTTTTATTATTATTATTATACTTTTTTTTATTAACATTATTTATATGAAAAATGAATAGACAATGTTCCAGTCGAGTTAATTTTGAAAATAAAACGTGTACAGGTTAATACTTAATTTTTTCACACTCTGTCATAGAGATATAAATTGACGTAAATGCAGAAGCATCCAGCCGCGAAATGAATAATACCGCGACCTTCTCTATTATGGATTTTCCTTAGTTTACTCTATAGTAATGGTAAATGTTATATACTAATCATAATAACAATGGAAAAAAATTATATATATATATATAATAATTGTTTGAATTGAGTTTATTGTTGTGATATTAAATATTTGTCACATACTTCATAGGCATAAAAAAAAAAGGAAAAAGATGCATAACTTCCGATGGGAATTTTATATTTCGTAATTCAGTTTTATTATCTGGTTTTGCTAATTACCCTTAATAATTACACCGTTATTGTTATTATAATTGAGTTATGGGAAGTTTTTATTATTTTAAATTGAGGACAAAATAAATTTTAGTCATAACAATTTTTTTAATACTTTGTTATTGTTATTTTTTAAAAATATACCTAGTGAATATATAAGTTTAATTTGTGTATAGAAAAAATATTTATTGGCAAACATATATTGAGTATATGGTGAATGTAATAGGATCACATATTTAATTACATATTGTAGGGAGTAATCAGGTGAAAAGACCAAAGTAATCCGTTTTAACTATTTATTTTCATAATGCAACGTTTCGTTGGTTTTATTCCAACATCTTCAGGCATCTGACAACAGACAGACAATACAACCAATTAAAAAATTATGAAAATTATGAAAATAAATAGTTAAAACGGATTACTTTGGTCTTTTCACCTGATTACTCCCTACAATATTTAATTACAAGACCTGAACAATTTCAAAATTTAATTACATAATTATCAAAAAATATTTAATTAACTTTTGAAATTCAATGTTTAAATTTGTTTATAAAAATAATTTTTTTTCGTAAGTTTAAATTTTTATTAATTATTTTTAATTTTTAAAAATTTTGAACTAATGAAAGTATAACATTTATAACAATAAAATTAATTGCAAAAACAACAAAAGAAATTTTTTAATCAAATTAGAACATCGTCTAATGCTTTGCATTATGTCGTGCGATAATGACATAAATATATATTTTACGCAAAATCTGACTTTGCGTGTTGTAGTTGTGAGGTCACAATTACGGCAATAGCTTATTTTATTTTATATTCATTATTTTTTATATAATAAATATAAAATATATATTTTTACTTAAAGACATAAAAATTACATAATAACAAAATATATGCATAACCAAATAAAATAAATATAAGTGAGCAAATTATGTAGGAAAATTTTATCAGTCTACCGAATCGTATAAAAGAATATTTTTTTCAAATATCTTCAATATTCATAGTGAATATTTTTAACAATGTCTCTAACAATACCAAGAAAATTTTTTTTTATTGCAATTGGTATGCAATTTTTTTTCTATTTAATATTATTTGTTTAAAAAAATTTAATCAATAAATTAATTAACAGGCTTTATAATTCTGAATTATGTGAAGTGTCTGAGTTTACAATTTAGTGACATAAAAGATTTAATAAATGAAAAAAATTTAATTGATACACTCGATCCATTGTTACTTAAGAATGCCAACGGATTAATATTAAATGATGCATTGGAAGCCACTTTGATACTCGATCAAGATGTGCAATTTCATCTATTTACTAAAGAAAATCCCGATTTTGAGTATCCATTAAAAATACATGATAATAGTAATTTAAACGATTCACCTTTTAATAATAATGTATCAACAAAAATAATAATACATGGTTGGACGGATAGTGTTCACAGTAATTGGATTAAAGAATTGCGGAATAATTATTTATTAACTGATAATTACAATATTATTTGTGTTAATTGGTATCCTGTATCGGCGAAAGAGTACAGAATAGCTGAAAAATTAACTAGACAGGTTTTATTATAATTTGTAATTAATTTACTGAAAAAAATTACTTGATTTAAGAAAAATATCTCGTTGAAAATTTTATCCTTGCTTTGGAATATTAAATTTTTTTTTTTATCCTAGAAATTCAAATACAAATCAAGTAAAATGAAATTTTTTATCTAAATTAAAAATTTTATAAGTTTAATAAAGCACTATATAATATTTTCAAACAAAGTAACTTTAATTATTTCCAAGAATTTTAGTTTCCTTGTAAAAAAAAATCAAAAAACAATTTAAGTCCAAAAAATAATTCTTAAGTATTTATTTTTTTTTTTTCAAAAGTTTTACTACGTCAGATTAACTTTTAATTTTACATAAAAAGTCAGAGTAATTCAAAGATTTCGGATTCTTCCAAAAGTAATTATTCAAAATAAAAAAAAATTTTGTTTTAAATTTGTGCGGCTCTAAAAATAGTTTTTTGTACGTATTAAAATTTTTTAATTTGTTTTGAGTTTAAAGACAAGTACTTTTTTTTAGTGCATAGCTCATGTAATGTGTATACATTAGTTTTAAATAATTATTGTTTATTAATTTATTTTTTAGATTGGCGAATATATCGGCGACTTTATAGATTATTTAAAAATAAATAGTAATATTTCATTAGACACGGTACATATATTGGGGCACAGTTTAGGAGCTCACATTGCTGGATTTGCTGGTAGTAAATTGTTTGGCGAAATTGGTAGAATAACTGGAATGGATCCTGCACGTCCATTATTCGAAGCTCCAATACTTAAAGATACCTCTGATAGATTGGATTTTTCGGATGCTAATTTCGTAGATATTATTCACACTTGCGCGGGTACTGTAGGCTTTGTGAAACCTATTGGACACGCGGATTTTTATCCCAACGGTGGTACATATAGACAGCCTGGATGTCCTGTATTTATAACACGTAATTTATTATTAATTTTTTCATTTTGTTCATTACACAAATTTAAAATAAATTTCTTTTCATTGTACAGAATATTGCAGCCATGGAAAAAGTCATCAATATATGGCAGAATCAATAATACATCCTGAAGAATTTGTAGCTGTTAAATGTGATAGTTGGAAGGATTATAAGGCAAATAAATGTTATGATAATACAACTGCAATAATGGGTGAATATATAAGTACAGATACACATGGGATATTTTTTTTAGAGACAAAGCCAGATTTTTCACTTATTAAGTATTTTATGATATAAAAAATTCATTATCTTGAAAATTAAAGACATTGTTATTATTAATGTCATTTAATAATTAATTTGTAAAACCATTTTTTGTACTTGAAAAAAAAAAAAATTAGCAGTTGATCTAGAAAATCTTAAAATAATTCAAGTGAACCGAAATCTTTGATAAATTTTAGGATTTTTTATAAGAAGTGAGAATTCACCCGATGAGGCGCGGAGCACGGGTCTATCATACGGGTCTGTATCCATGCTCGTACCCGTGCCCTGTGCGTATGAAATATCTGCACGGGTGTAGTGTATGTATAGACTCGTCCTCCGTGCCTCATCGGGTGAATTCTCACTTCCTATATAAACATAAACAAATGAAACAAAACATTGTTATGACAGCGATCGTCAATTAATTTTATTTAAAGTAACTTATTATTTAGAAGCTCGTTAAATTTTTATTTTACCTCAACTTTGATAATCAATAAATATTTAAAATAATTTTATTTGTGTCATAAAATTTAGAAATTAGTTCATTTTTAATTAATAGTTTGTTTAATAGTTATGTTTAATAGTTGTGTTTAATAGTTATATTTAATAGTTTAATAGTGTATATAATTATTTTGTTGTGATATGAATAAGATAATCAAGATTATACCTGGTTAAAAACCAGGGTCAAAAGATCTTTTCCATGATGGACATACTTACGTTCGAGATTGGAGCAGCAATCATATTTTTAGATGCTCCAAGATCAAGTCATCAGGTTGTAAGGCGTATTTAAAAATTTATTAAGTTATTAAAGACTTTGAAGATCGTTTGAATCTTAAAACAAAAGATGATTTTGAAATTAAAAATATACATTGATTTGCCTGACAAACGTAAAGGTACATGGTCAGATCTAAAAAAACTTATGAAGAACAAATGTCAAGAAACAAATAAAGCACCAAAGAAAATTTTTAATGAAGTTTGTAAGTATAAGTTTTTTTCTTATCTTTTATAAAAATTAAAAATATCAATTGAGAAAAATTTTATCGTATTATATAATACATAAATTGAGAAGATATATCCACATCCATTTTCAAAAAATTAGAATAATATAAGGAAGAAACTAACGGAGCTATGTTTTATAACACAGTGATAAATAATAATGAAAATGTATTTATTGCGTAATTTCACGTTAATAATTAAAATGTAAGATTAATATTTTTAATCATAAAAAAAATTTTAAATGACATTTATTTGTAGAAAAAAATATTTTAATAATCATGCGGATTTTATCTAGTTGCAATGTAACAAAAAATTATTAGGATTTATAAATTAAATAGATAATCAATAAAATTGATATTATTGATAGCACAGCACTATTTTTCTGAATTGTTACCGAGAAATGTTTTTTTTATTACCCAGAAATTAGTTCGCACTATTGCTACAATTCTTGTTCAAGCATTTTGTCGAGACCGAGCAAATAGTAGGCTGAAAGTACCTAAGACACTTGGTGATTTAGGTAACATTTTAATGAACGATGATACTCAGCGAATGTCACTCAGCTGTGATATTTACGCGTGAATCCCTGTTAAATCTGTTCAATAATAGCAATGATATTTTTATGGATGGTACTTTTGAGGTTTGTTATTCATTAAATTAATCATTAAATATAGTATTATAGTTAGTTACCTATGTAAAAAAAATCGTCTTAAAATTATCGTTCGTTTAAGATCTTAACCCTTTAGAGTCTGACCTTGAAACCCCACTCTTGGGTCTTACTATGGATTTGCGCTCTCCCCACTACTCTCACGCGAAGACGTTTCAAGATCCTCTGACTCTAAAGGGTTAAACGTGACACAAACCAAGACTATTATAAGACTTTTTTAAGACGCCAAAAAAAAAAATTTCGAGAGCAGATTTTTATAAATTTAGTTCTCGAATTTGTTGTGAAAATTAATTTTTAGACAATTTTACGACTTTCTAACTGCAATATTTTTGAGTAAGATGTTTTTAAATTGAATTTAAAATTATTATCTGACAATTTTAAGACTTTTTTAAGACGTTCCGTTTTAATGTTCCGGGGCTCTGTCGCTGTTAGCGAATTCTTAAAATAGTCTAAATTTTTTTTCAAGATTTTTTTAAGACTAATTTATCTGATAATTTTAAGATTTTTTTAAGACGTTCCGTTTTAATGTTCCGGGGCTCTGTCGCTGTTAGCGAATTCTTAAAATAGTCTAAATTTTTTTTCAAGATTTTTTTAAGACTAATTTAAAATAATTTTAAGACAATTTAAAGACGCTCCGTAATAATTTTCTGGAGCTGTCACTGTGATATCATCTTAAAATAGCCTAAAAATTTTTTAATAATTATTTTAGGATTTTTTAAAGAGTATTTTAAGATTTTTTCAAGACGATTTTAAGATTTTTTTAAAACTATTTTAAGTCTTAAAATAATTTTTAAATAGTCTTAAAGAAATCTTACAGCGACAGAGCTCTGGAACATAATTATGGAGCGTCTTTAAATTGTTTTTAAAAAATCTTAAAATAGTCTTAAAAAAATCTTAAAAAATTTTTAGGCTATTTTCAGATGACATCACACTGACAGCTCCGAAAAATTATTATAAAGCGTCTTTAAATTGTCTTAAAATGATCTTAAATTAGTCTTAAAAAAATCTTAAAAAAAGATTTAGAGACTATTTTAAGATGAGCTAACAGCGACAGAGCCCCGGAACATTAAAACGGAACGTCTTAAAAAAATCTTAAAATTATCAGATAATAGTTTTTTAACAATTTTAAATTCAATTAAACCACTTACTCAAAAATATTGCGGCTAGAAAGTCGTAAAAAATGCCTAAAAATTAATTTTCACAACAAATTCAAGAACCAAATATTCAAAAATTGGCTTTTGGAATTTTTTTTTTGGTGTCTTAAAATAGTCTTGGTTTGTGTCACGTTTAAGATCTTAAACAAACGACAATTTTAAGATAGTTTTAAGACGATTTTTTTTACACGGGTATATTGTCGTAACTCATTTTAAAAAAATTTACAGAACACTTCATGTCACCCAAAAATCCATCAAATATATACAATTCATGTAAAATATCAAAATATGGTAAATATTAACTAATAAGTTTACTTGACTGTTTAAAAAATGTTTTTTTTTATTTATTTTTTTTTTCTATTCAAAATAATAAGTTTTTGCACTTCATTTTTTCGGTTCAACGTTTTTTTTTCCTCAAAGTAACTTTTTAATCATATAATAATGCAACCATAAGTACAATTATTTACTCTGTTGTAAAATTATGTTTAGTATATTGCTGTGATTATGATACTGATGGAAAACCGAGACACGGATATGCATGATAAAGTCTTTGAGTGGATTAAGAAAAAAGCTAAAGCGCTGAAAACGAATAAAAATTTAATAATATTGAGTGACTATGAAAAAGCAACGATCAAGTAATTAAGAAAAAATTTTCCTGCTACTGAAATCCATGGATGTTATTTTCATTACGCTCAAGTGAGTTTTTTTAAAAATTTAGTTCATAAACGAATGTTTAAAATTGGTATGAATATTGATAGTTGTTTTATAATGTATAATAAATATTAAAAAATGTAATTGGCTTTATCGATCAATTCCAAAAACTAATCAGCTTTTAACATAAGAAACCACACCACGTCGATCGCTCCCGGGCCAGTCAAAATCAGTTGATTCACTCGTGAGATATCGTTGACGAAAAAGTGATTTTTTTAAATAACTTCAAAATTTCTGTCCGGATAACTTCAAAATTTTACGTTGAATTGTCGGGAAGGTAATGAATAATCTGTTGGTGCTTAAAAAATTGCATCGAATGCTGCAAGCCCGATCAAAAACGATTGATTCAATCGGAAGATATCGCAATTTAGAATTTTCCAAAAATTACGTATTTACAACCACTAAATTTTCAAGCAAAGAGCTTGAAACAGTTTACAAGTTGTATTTTTGAGCTTGAAGAGCTCAATAATAGTAGTAATAATAATAATAATAATAATAATAATAATAATAATAATAATAATAATAATAATCAGAAGTCTATCTTAAAAATTATTATTATTTTTTTTTAAACTAGTTAAAAATTATTTGTTTTTTTTTTTTTAATTTGATTTTCTATCAAAGCGAAATTTTTAGTTTTTCCAAACTAATATTTATTTTGTTAAATTTTTTAAAAAAATTTAAATAAAAAAAGTACTTTTTAAAGAAAAAAAATGATGAATTTTAGAGTTATTAAGGAGGTCCTTTCGCCGCCAATGTAGAATAAAAAATATTAGATTATGAGTAAATTTAATTTTTTTTCTAATAGTTAAGGTCCTTATTTATTTAATAGTGAGGTTTAAATTATACTTTACCTGACAAATTTTTGAAAAAATAAAATTTTTAAATGTTAGTATTTGTTTCAGAGTCTTACGAGAAAGTCAGACGTTTGCAGTATTTCTTGAATTATACTATCAGTCATGGATTAGATGAAGTAAAAAAAACTAAAAATTAGATTTTCGAAATATTTAGGTTTCTTTTTTTGCAATAAAATATGTCAGTTACCGAGATATTTATTGAGAAATTAATATATTTAAAAATCACAAAAAATTCTCAAGTAACCTACATTAATATGGAGTCAAAATATTTGGCAACGTTGCGTAGCGCGCGAGCTTCAGACCATTTAATAAATTCAAACTAATTTATTTATTTACACTGACTGCAAAAACTTAAACGTAGTTAAGGTTATATTGTGCAAATGATAATGTAAACAACCGAAGTACAGCGTTGCCAAATTACGGACAGGTTACTAGCAGTTGATTTGAAAGAGTCAAATTAATTTTTGTATTTAACTATTTTTTTTTTTTTTTTTTTTCAAAGTTTCAACGATTAATGCCTCATATACTATTTATTATTTAATTTTAGGAATTTTTATGGGTTTCTTTTTTTAATTTATCGTATATTGACTACTACAATTGTTTTGACTCAACTGGAGCGAAAGGATTTCCTTAATATTTAGGATACTTCAAACGAAGAGT